GCACCAGCACCAGCACCAGCAAAAGATTTAAACGATCGACTCTCGCTTCATCCATCCCCTCCTCATTCATCCCAAACCTTAACCCATCTACTTATCAAGATTTACAGAAAATTTATAACATTCAATTGTATCACTCTTTGGTTCGTCAAATAAACTTAAATAATCCTTGCAACCTCAATCCTCCTCAAGATCCTCGCTATGTTTCTGAGAATTTCGTCGCCAGCAAGGTTCCCACAGAAGAGGAACCATATTTTGTGGAAGAACCCGACTGAGTACTGTGGTTTTTGAATGGTTTATTATCGGATTACGGTAGCTTGACTGCTTTTCCTAGGATTACTGTAGGCTTAGGCTTGAGCTTGGGTTGTTTTAAGGCTGTTGTTTGGGTTGTTTAGGAGGCTTTAAACTTTCAGAAGTTACCGGATAACTCAGTGGTTAGAGCGTCTGGTAAAAGTAAAAAGTAAAAAATTAAAAGCGAAAGGGTTTTGTAGCAAAATCGAGTAGTTTCAAAGTTCTGCTCCTTTAAAATCGTTTCATTTCGCACATTTAGCACATTTCGCACTCAAATCAGTAACCTAGTTTGAACCAAAAAACCCTGTGGATTACGGTAGACGTTTGTGACAGAAAAACTACAGTAATCAGCCTCTTCCCAGTCTACCTTGGCATATGTAAATATTTCCCTTCTATATGCCCTCAAACATAGTCAAAAGTCGGTCTTGTGTAGCTCCTCGTAAATGCTTAATTAAAGCTTTCTATGCTTTTCATTTATAGTCTTCAACGAATGCCTAACAATGCCTAACAATGCCTAACGATGCCTAATCATTAGACTGTCTAATGAAGCTTCTAACGACAAGTTTACCGTATAAATAGCGCAAAATAGAATAGTTTTAAAGGACTACTCCTTTAAAATCGTTTCATTTAGCACATTTCGCACATTTCGCACCCAAATCAGTAACCCAGTTGAAGCAAATAGCTCCTCTGGATTACGGTAGACGTTTGTGATATAAAAGCCACAGTAATCAGTCTCTTCCCAGTCTACCTTGACATATGAAAATATTTCTTGTGCATTTTAAAATTCTGCCTTTAATTGAATTTTCGTGTAATTTCTGATTGTTGCCTAAAATATGCTTCTAGCTTTATATGAATCTGTTTTGTTTTTTTGGGTAAAAATGCGATTACTTTATTGTCTGAATATTGCCATTATCGAAAACTCTTTTTTTTTCTTGAATTTAACTTTATTGGATCCTTGATTTTTAGTGACTTTCTGTTGGTTTGTAAAAATTTTCTTTATCACTTTTCGCGGAAAAAAAAGTCGGTGTCTTCAATTTCAACTTTGTGATCTTCATTTTGTGGCAATAAATGGGTAAAAATAGAAATATGATACCGTATTTTCTCTAATAGTAGTGCACCCTGAGCGTCGCCTAAATTGCTTGAAATCTCGAGAACCGCTTATCAGAACCTATCGATGTGGGGTCGGAAATTGTAGCTCACGATGAGATCTAGTGGAGGATTAGAGTGTTGAGCTTCTGCGAAAGCTTGGGAACTGTAAAATCATCGCCAACTCGGCTCGGCCCGAGGGAGGGAAGAGAGCACTACAATTAGGGAAAATACAGAATACCGTATTTTCTCTAATAGTAGTGCACCCTGAGCGTTGCCTAAATTCCTCGAAATCTCGAGAACCGCTTATCCGAACTTATTGCTGTGCGGTCGGAAAATGTAGCTGACGATGAGATCTAGTGAAGGATTAGAGTGCTGAGCTTCTGGGAAAACTTTGAAAGCCGTAAAATGGTCACGAACTCGACTCGCTGGAGTGCACTACTATTAGAGAAAATACGGTACTATGAAAATGCAAAAACGTGGCAGTGTTATAGATTCTTGTGAAATTTTGATGTTGGCAACACTTGTTGTCAGTGAAATTTCCTTTATCTGTGTATAATTAGAGAAATTGATCAGTTTAAAAGCTTAACTACGGACAAGTGGATTGGGTTTGCTGAGAGAATGACTTGATTTTTAAAAGTTTATTCTTTGTATATCTTGGTCCAAATCCGACGAATTTGCAAACGGTTAAAAGATTTAAAGAGCTTATTATCTCTAATTTTAACATTACAAATACCCTAAAGTCGCAAGTATAAGTTCTGTTTGGTTTTCGCATGCAAATTGACGGCTGTCTCCGGTGCGGTGTGTCGAGGGTTCGAACCCCGCTGCAGCATAACTTTTTTGCTTTTTAAAATAGAACAATAATAGAAGTAAATTTATTGAGGGTTATAGCAATTTTATGCTGTTATTTGTTGCTCCGGGCGTGGCTCGGCGCGTCCGCTCTGCTCCTCTCCGGTGCTCAGTCTTATGGATACCTCCCTGGCCTCTTCATCCGGCCAAAGTCCACGTCGACGGTCGAAAGAGATGCTTTCCAGCGTCTTCTTCAACACTATCGTCTGGATGTATCCATGCACATAACAAATAGCAATGGTGATAGGCTGTCAGCAATGGTGATAGGCCTGTAGTATCCCGCGCTCCAATAAAAGTTTATATAACAATAAAAATGTATAAAAACCCAACAAAAAGAAATTCAAAGCAATTAAAGCGAATGTAAATGAAGGCAGAACTTATTTCTCGAAGAAACTGCGATGTTAAAAGACCTTTGTCCATCAATTTTTGGCTGTATATAACGCTTTTCGATGCAACGATTCCATTTTGCGGTCTCGACAAAATCGTTATATCGAGAGTCGACTGTCGAGCGTTTTCCAAGGTTCAAAAGTTTTCAAAAAGTGATTTTATCTCATGAATACGTTTCTAAAACTCTTTTAAACGTTTTTAAGACTCTTAAAATAAACGATCACAACTTTATTCACCCAAATGGCACAGAAGACAAACGACACAAGAGATTGCCCAAGTTTTACACTTAATCTATATTTTTTTCTTCAATTGGCTTCCGATATTTGACGAAAAACTGAAATAAATATCCCTTTGTTTCCTCTTTTTGCAAATTCAACAAATAAATCGCTTCTCTTTCATCAGAAATCCCTTTGCTGAAGTATTTCTGCTTAAAAATCGGCATTTCCCATTCGAAAACTTCACAAGTCTCCACGTTTCTCAGCTCATCTCTGAGATTTTTCCAAATCTCATTCATGTACTCAATTCTCTCCGATTCTTGCTCTAATTCCTCACATTCTTGATTTCGAATCGAACTCCTCAACTCTTCAAACCAATCCTGAAAAATCGCGTCTTCATAAACTCGATAGTAAAACAAAAGCATTGTCTCCTTTTCTTTGCCCAAATTCTCAGCAATAATCTTTTCAATGGTTTGTTGAAAGTTTTCATTCCAAATCTCTTCAATGATCAACAATTTTGAGTCACAAATCGCTAGTTGATCAATTGAAACCATCGAGAAACGCCAAGTTATCGCTTTACAAGTCCTAACGTTTGGTTTCTGAAGGGCAGTGCTCAGAAATTCACCAATTGCTCCATCCGGTTCATCGAAAATGTTGAATCCGAGCTTTAAAAAGTTCACAATTTTAGCGTCAAACTTGGAAAAGATTGTATTCGCATATTTTGTTGTTGTGCGAAGAGATAAACTCGAGATGTGACTGGCTTTTGGTAGAAAGTTACCGTTCTCAAAATTTTTGTATAAAGAACTTGAGTAGAGTGGAGCGTTCTCGATTGAACTGTGAAGGAGAAGCTCGCAAAATTTGATGGAAATGATCGGTTTCAGAAAATCCCAGAAAGTTTGCGGAGAGATTTTGAGTGGAATCTCGTTCTCGTTGAGCTCTTCCACGAGGTGAACGGTCGTTTCGTAAATCTGAAATCTTTTCTTTATCAGTTTGTTCTTCTAGTTCTAGTTCTAGTTCTTCTAGTTCTACTTGTTCTTGAATTTAGGTCAGTCTAGGTCAGACTTGTACTTAACTTCATAACTAGCTTACATATCTAGGTCAGACTTGTACTTAACTTCATAACTAGCTTACATATCTAGTCTGACCTAGCCAGGCAAGTTAGGCAAGACATGGACTTGGCCTGGATTAACTTGCAGACTTAGACTGACTTGATATGGTCAAAAATGGCCAAGTCTGGTATAGCTTGGTCCTACTGGTCTTAGATTAGACTAATCAGATGATTTCAGGCAAGATTAATCCTTGAGTTATGATGGTTTAAGTTATGATTGTAGGTTATGATAGCTGCAAAGTCTTAAACTCTTGTTACCGTATTTTCTCTAATACTAGTGCACCCAAGCGAGCCGAGTTGGTCACTATTTACGGCTTCCAAAGTTTTCACAGAAGGTCAACACTCAAATCCCCCACTAGATCTCATCGTCAGCTCCATTTTCCGACCTCACATCGATAGGTTCTGATAAGCGGTTCTCGAGACGTCGAGGAATTTAGGCGACGCTCAGGGTGCACTAGTATTAGAAAAAATACGGTATCAACAATATTCTGGGAGACATAATCTGGTGTTAAGAAATGAAGAATTCAATTAAGAATGAAAAAGCTGACATTTACATTTAGTGTAACTCACCCTGAAGTCGATCTCTCGATTGAGACTCACGAAAAGCGAAATCTTAAGCGGATCCTCGTCGTCAACAACAAAAATACCAAGATTGCTGATTTTTCTCGGCAATGGTTCGTTAAGAATTTTCGTTTGAAGATTTTTATTGACTTTGTAGAGCTCTTGAACATCTTTCAAGCTGACAGATGATAAAACCGAGTTTTTCAACTCTTCTGGAAGAATTCGATAGCAAAATGATGATGACATGGGAGTGAAAGTGAGTCACAGAATGGAATCTATTGAAAGAAAAGACTCGGCTCTCCATGGTTACTGGAAAAAAAAATGCTTCTCTTTATGCTTTAAAGAAGTTTTGTGCTTTGTATGCACTCGTTTTTCAGCTGCATACACAAATAAAAGACTTTCACTGAAAAGCGGGAACGAGTTTTCAACAAAAGTGTGAATTATTCAACAATTATTGATCTCTAGTCAAACGTTCTGAAAATTTGGATATAAGCTTCATTTTTGATTCTCTACAACTTTTCTATTGACACCAAAATGGGTTTCTTTTGAAGAAAGTGCTCAAACTGGAAGTCCTTCTCCAGTCTCCAGTCCTCCATTTTTGAGTCTCACACTTGTCTCACACACAAACCAAAATCCTACTACGAAAGAGGAATCCGTAAATTGCCTGTAAAATGGGCAGAAGTCGTCAATAATAATGGAAATTATTTCGAATGAATTCATGGTTTTATGTTCAATAAATTTTAGTTCAAAGTCCAGTCAAAGTTTCAAAGTCAAAGTTTCAATTCACCAACCTAATAGTAATCTATTGTAATAATAGAAATCTAGTAATCAAACGATTCTTTTGTTATTTTGCTAGAACGAACATGACATTGTTAAAGTCCCCTAAGTCCCGCAGTTTTCAAAGTCCCGCAGTTTTCAAAGTCCCGCAGTTTTCAAAGTCCGGCGGTTTCCAATTCACCAACCCAATATATATATGCTTTATTCAGTTGAATAGCGACAAAACAAAATTACAATAATTACCCGGGACACCACTCAAAACACACCCAAAAGATAAATAGATACCTCAAGAAAGAATCATAGAGCAGTCAAATCAATTGCTGATTGCTTTGCTGATTGCTTTGCTGATTGCTCAATTGCTTTAAATCTATCCAAGGTGGAAATATCACGAACATGAGGGGGTAAAATGTTTCAGAATTTAATAACTCGATTAAAAAAGAAATTGTGGGGGCTTTTAGAGGAGACGGAAGGTTGGCGTATGAGTCTCCCCTTCTGGAAGCGCCTCGTAGAGAGCCGAATTCAAAGATATTCAGAAAAAAGGGGGTCGGGATGAATGCCTTTAACAATTTTAACAAAAACAACAAAAGCATTCCACTAAATCGATGATAAGGCGGCGTTGGTGTAACATTGGTTCACGAAAATCCATCTTTGGATCAAGAGATAAGATAAAAGATCGAGCGTAAAACGTTAAGTTTATAGGCAAATTTTCAGAATCATATGTTTAGTCGATTTCTTTATAGAATTTTTCAAAAGATTTTACGCAAAACAAAAGGATGCCCCAAAATTACCCGAACCAATTTTTAAAAAAGCAACAATAAAATAGAATACAATTTTTTTTGATCTGTTTTCGCACTCAGGTGTTCCTATTTGCGCAGATCACAACCTGCTTCCACATTTCTCTATCCCTTGTTATTCTCATCCAGTGTTTCCTAGCTTGATTGTTCCTGGTTCGAAGTCTTCGACTTGCTGGTGCTGGTGGTGGTTGCACTCTAGCCATCCTTTCTCTGACCGTCTCTGCCACTCTTGTGCTCCACCTCGTTGCTGGTCTTCCGATGGGCCTCTTCTGGTCTCGTGGTAGCCACTCTGTGATCCGTATCGTCCATCTGTCGTCTGTTCTTCTGGCTACGTGGCCGGCCCATCTGAGTCTTTTTCTCTCGATGACTTCCACTGGATCTCTGAGTCCCGAGAGCTGGCGCATATCCGTACTTCTTAGGTCCTGGTCGAGCTGCGTCTTCCTATTGTACCCGAGGAGGTTCCTTTCAAGGGCTCGATGCGTCGTTATCAGGGCTCGTTCAGCGGTCTGTGTCGTGGCCCAGGTCTCTGTCCCGTAGCAGAGTGCCGGGAGGACAGTGCTGTCGAAGAGGTGTGCCCGAGTTCTCTGATGATTCTTGAGTATCTTTGTGACTTCTTTGATGCTTAGAATACAATACAAGTCTAGAAAAAAAAAATCTGATTTCTGGAGAATTCTAAAGAAATTTTCAACACTACTTTTCATCTTATAAAACAAAAACTTCGAAATAATTTTGAAAAAGACAAATGATTTCCAGTTAAGACGATTTTCAATTAGTTTTAATTGAATTGTCTTTATAATCGGATTGCCGTTTGAGGTAAACACGAAACGTTTATCAGTGGAAAAGAGCTTTTCCGTCTTTTCTGTCTTCGACTCGATAATCACCTCAAAAGTTTTGACCCAATGTCCGCTTCATTATTCTTTTCTTAAGATGCAAAAAGTTTTATTTGTCCTGAAAACTTTTCTTTTATTTTTTATTAGCACTATCGATGGGAGGGTCTTTCAATTAGATGAATTGGTTCCATCGGTTGCTGTTCATGGAGAGCGGCTGAATGAAATGGAGGTTTGGATGAAATGGAGGTTTTAGTTGAGTTCAATAAAATAACAATGACCGTAAATCCTTTATTAGAGCGGCATCATCTATTAGAATAGCCCTATCTAATAGAACTACTATTGATACAAAATGGATTTCAGAAAATCACGATTGTTGGTGGTGATTCATTTCTGGTTGACTATACTCAAGTTGGATGTCTTGACGAGCCGAGTACAGAAGCTAAAAGTGGCCTCTACTTGAGAGACTTCAATAAACAAGCGCAAATTTTGTGTTTTGATCAGATTCCTTTTTTGATCAACGGAATAACTCTTGAAAATGAGTATTGCACAGAGAGTTGGTCAGTTTCTATCAAAACACCTAAAATAAATGGCACCATCCAATAGAATAGCACTATTTATTAGAATAGCACCATCTATTAGAATGGCACAATCTATTAGAATGGCACCGTCTAATAGAATGGCACAATCTATTGGAATGGCACAATCTATTAGAATAGCACTATTTATTAGAATGGCACAATCTATTAGAATGGTACCGTCTAATAGAATGGCACAATCTATTGGAATGGCACAATCTATTAGAATGGCAACATCTATTAGAATGGCACAATCTATTAGAATGGCACCGTCTAATAGAATGGCCCTATTTATTAGAATGGCACAATCTATTAGAATAGCACTATTTATTAGAATGGCACAATCTATTGGAATGGCACCATCTAATAGAATAGCACCATCTAATATAATAGCACCATCTAACGCACCAGAGCGGCAACCCTTCAGCTGAATTGGTACTACGACAGTTGGGCGGGGAGGCAATTTTTTTCTTCTAGCTTTTTCCAAGGCAGTTTTTTTTGCGTAGATTACGAATTTCATAGTTGAAGCTTGGGAAAATGCGTTTTAGACTGACTTTTAGAAGCTCGCCGTCTCTATAGTGTACTTCACTGTAATGTTCCTATAAGAAGGGCTTAAAAGAAGTTTAATGAGCCTTTTCTTGTCCAAAAAGAATTTTTCTGAAATCATTTTAAAGTTCTACATGCACTCTACCAAAATTTGGGTAGAAAATTTTGTGTTTTGATCAGATTCCTTTTTTTGATCTGGAATAACTGATGGAATAACTCTTGAACTCTTGAAAATGAGTATTGCACAGAGAGTTGGTCAGTTTCTATCAAAACACTTAATATTTTAGGTGTTTTGATAGAAACAATGATCGTGATCGTGATTTGAAATTGAAAATATGATTAAGGCCAAGCTTAAGGCCAAGCTCAATTGACGTGAACACTTACTATTTTGTTTGTCGTTACAAATTCGAGAATACAAAAGAGCTGCGTATTGAGTCGCTTAATGGCACGGCAACGAATTGGGGCGTTTCTTTTCGAGTTGGCGAATGGGTTGATGGTTGTTTTTATTACAGATTTTTGCTAAAAATAATTTATTCAGCTGAAAAGCGATTATTAGTGATTCCGATAAACGAGCCAACAACTTCGATAAGCATTTTTGTGGCTATCGATATTATTGTGACTTTTGTGGCAAGCTCGTAAGTTCGACCATTTCTTCATACTTCAATATCATGAAGCAAGTAAAGTATTTTAAAAAAATAAGGCTGCGGTACAGTTTAACCCCCACCCACAATTGGGATCTCTCAATTGATCTCTCAAGGAACTCTCAATTGATCTCTCAAGGATCTCTCAAGTGGTTTTTCTAGGGTAATTTTGTGTGTAGAATCCGAATTTCAACATCCTAGGTGCGGATCAGGCGTTTTTTCTACAAAACATAGCATAAGCCTATAGTTGGAGGGCCGGTGCTGCAAGCTACCTATACTTAGATAGGTCCCGGAGGGGGTCAGTGCTCTCTAGGATCTCTAGGATCTAGGGAATAAACTCAGCTCTCTAGGATCTAGGGTTTATAAGCGCTTAGTTGCCTTATGTAAAGCTTTTCCTACCTTTTTAGAAAAAACCATGGTATGGTGCAGGTCACTTCCCGGCCAGACAAAAGTCGGTCCGGGAAGTGGGACCGCTGTATGTGCAAAGCCAAAGCCTAGGTAAATAGCAGGCTTACTCCAAGGGGAGCCTCACAGGTCTCAATGGTAGGTTTGGAAAAAGTCAAATGATTTCTAGTTAATACCATTTTCAATTACATTCGACTCTCTCTATAACAGAACTCTAAATAAAAGGTATATTTATTCGACACAAATAATGAATTCCCGGATAGGTCCCGGGTTAGTGCTGCGAGCTCTTCAGGATCTAGGATTTATAAGCGCTTAGTTGCCTTATGTAAAGCTTTTCCGACTGCTTTAGAGAAAAAAGCACGGTGTGGCGCAGGTCACTTCCCGGACAGGCGAAAGTCGGCCCCAGGGGCGTCGCCTATGGGGCCGCTGTAGGTAAAGCCTAGGTCAATTGCTGGCTTGCCCCAAAGGGAGCCTCACAGGGCTCAACAGTGGGTGAAACGGCCAAATTTGCTTCTAAAACACAAATTTTTGAACTTTAATCTTTTCAAATCCACTGCTGAGATGTTAAAAATCGGATTCTACGCACAAAATTACCCCAGAAAAACCATTTGAGAGATCCCAATTTGAGAAAAACCATTTAAAAGATGCGGAGAACATTAATTTACTCTATGACTCGACTCCCAGTAATCAGATCGACTTAAGGTTGTTTTTAAAATGATCCTCATTAAATTCGGTTATAGAAAAGTAGAATTTGTTTTGTGTACTCAGGTATAAAAACATAGAGAAAATTAGTGTCAAAGTTGAAGTACCTACCTGGAAAAGTTGATAAACTCAGATGGTCTATAACTCGAGATATGGGGGTTGAATCGACTTGTAATTACTTTTAAAAGAATCCTCATTAAATTTGGCTATAGAAAAGTAAAATTTGTTTTGTGTACTCAGGTATAAGAACATAGAGAAAATTAGTGTCAAAGTTGAACTAGCTACCTGGAAAAGTTGATGAACTTAGATGGCCTATAACTTGAGATATAGAAGCTGACTCGACTTATGGTTGGTTTTGACTGAGCGTTGTTTGAGCTGTGCACCCCTCAGCTTTCCGACAATTCCCTTGGCTTTAAAGTACCCGGGTACTTAGGAGCGCCATTCTCCTTTTTACCTCACGGAGGACATCCGCTACAGCTATACTATACTCCAGCGAAAAATAAAATTCCTAGATCAAACTTTGTTTTTGAGATCTTCATTATTTAACATTCATTGTTAATGACCAAACTTTCAGTCATTTGTTCGAATCCGATAACGCTTTGATACCCATCAATTACTCGGGAGAAGACGAGGATATGAGCTGGTTTTGCTCGGATTTTCAGGTACCCTATCGATGGCTAGATTTTCATTTACACTTTTTTGTCCAGCCCGTTATTACTTGCCGTATGGATGCTTTATTCTCTGTATTTCAAGGATCTGATCCGGGCCACAATGGAAACGAATTGTATTCCTTGTCGGACAAAAAGTAAAATGAGCTTTAGTGAAAATCACGTTGAGACTATTAGATATCAATTTTTTTTTTGATGGGTTAGGTTGATTCAACCTATTGATTGATGGTTGATTCAAAGGCTTAGAATAAACCTGGGCGCTACAAACTACAATAATGACGAACTGTCGAGGTATACAGGATGTAGTGATACAGGATGTAGTGATACAGGCTGTAGTGATACAGGCTGTAGGTATACAGGCTGTAGGTATACAGGATGTAGTGATACAGGATGTAGTGATACAGGCTGTAGTGATACAGGCTGTAGTGATACAGGCTGTAGTGATACAGGCTGTAGGTATACGGGCTGTAGGTATACAGGCTGTAGGTATACAGGCTGTAGGTATACAGGCTGTAGTGATGCAGTGATAGCTACAAAGGCTCATAACTTGCTAAGTCCTTTTTTAGAAATTTTTTTCCCAGAAAATTTTTCACCAAAATAAGGTGTCAAAAATTCATTTTTTTAACACGCTTTTTCTTATAGATTCCGTGCTCCAACCGTTCTGAAACCATGTTTTTTGGAAAGAACGTCAAAAATTACCCCCTAGCAGTGTTTCCATTGAATAATTTCTTGTGCGTGAAGTGAGATTCGGTATGTGGGTGATCGATCGACTTCTCGACTCTCTCCTCGGCCGTTGTCGGGCAGTCATCGACCCAAAAGGGTTACCCCACAAAGTACTGAGTTTTTGTAGTCGAAAGTTTTGTTAATGATAATTTTTACATTTTTGTTTTCTTTTATTATGTTGACTTGTTTAAGATAAATTTTCATTTGTGGCTTTCAGATTCTCTCCATGAAGCGACGATATCTGTCAGGTGGTTTTTTTTAAACCTTAAGACAGCAAATATAATGGAAACACGGTTAGGGATAATTTTTGACGTTCTTTCCAAAAAAAACATGATTTCAGAACGATTGAAGCACGGAATCTATAAGAAAAAGCGTCTTGAAAAAGTGAATTTTTGACACCCTACTTTGCGCGCCCTGAAATCGGTCAAAAATTAAAGCAAATCAAAAAATTAAGCATACTATCTTATAGATCTCGTTTCAAGCTTTCAGAATCACTATAACACTTATAGACTCCAATGTATAGTTCTCGAGTTATAGTGCTTCAAAGTTGGGGGAAAAAAATAAGGAACTTTATTATTTACCGTATTTCTTCGAATAGAAGACCGGGTAAAGAGTATCATCGCGTACTCCTGCGTAGCAGCTCTTTTTAAAATTTCTTTTCTGCATAAAAGCTTTCAATGAAGTGCTATAGGGCTGGAAAATGGCTCAAAAATCTGTTAGCTCATGTGGTATTTTTGAGCCATTTTCCAGTTCTATAGCTCTTGATTGAAAGCTTTTATGCAGAAAAGAAATTTTAAAAAGGGCTGCTACGCAGGAGTACGCGATGATACTCTTTACCCGGTCTTCTATTCGAAGAAATACGGTATACCATTTGAAAGAGAATTTTTTTCTTTACATTCTGGTAAAAAAATTTCTGAAAAAGGACTTACGGGAAGAAATTTGTTTAATTTTGAAGTTTGAAGTTTAATTTGTAGTTTGTAGTGAACAGATATAGCTTAGAATGAAAAAAATGGCTTTTTAGGTTTACACAACCTAAAAAGCCTGCTATACTGCAATTCAGAAGCGGTCAAGGCACTCCATCCCGTTCCACGGCCACCACGATTTTCTCCCGGAGTAGCTGCTCATTTTGTGTCACTGCTGTCATACAAGAATGTAAACTGCTGTCATGCAAGACCCAAAAATGTAGTCACTCAAACAAAAGGATTAGATTCGTTTGTTTTTGGGGATCAGCCAACGGTGATCACTTCTTTTGGATTTCCTTGGCCCTTCGACGATTCTATCAAATCTCGTGATTGTTTAAAGCAAACTGCATTATTTCACGTGAGTTTCAATCAAAATTCCTCGGCAAAAAAAGGCAAATAAAATTCAAAAATTCAAAATTCAAATTCAATAAAACTATTCTTAGAGTGAATTCAAAAAGAATTTTCTTTTTCATCTATCCGACTTATTGGAGGGAGCTCTGAAAATGGTAATCTACTCGGATCAAAATTGCCTTCATTTCCTTAGCAACATCACGTACTTTGCTATGTTTTCTGTTTTTGCTATATTCGTTTTTAGTTTTATTCAATCATCTGATCCTCAAAGCTTTCATGCAAAATGTTTAAAGGTTAGGCTATTCGATTTCAATATATTAGGGTTTTAACATAGGGTTTTGCCAGGATTACGGAGACTAGAAGTATCTTTGATATTGCATATTTTTGCTTACAATTTATATATTATTTTTGTCTTTCTTTTGGTGGATAACTAAACTTGCCATTTTTAGTTAGAATGGTGTCCTCATGAGACTGTTGCCAGATCTGGTTTTAAATTCGAATTGGGCTTAGGGCCGATCGTCGAGCCTGATGATCTCGAATGTGGTGAAGTGCTCGAGCTAACGGAGCGTAACCCAGAGGCCACTTTTCATGGATTATACCTTGACAAAGCCGCTCTTTGTTCGTTTCAATTGAATTTGAACAGTGAAAATCATTTAAAAAAATGTTTTTTGAGGCAATCGATTTGCGAGAAAGCATCCTTAAAGCACCGTATTGGAACCGTATTGGAGCCGTATTAGATCAAAAAAAGAACGGTATTGGAAACGTATTAGATCAAAATAGGAACCGTATTGGAGACGTATTGGAACCGTATTAGATCAAAATAGGAACCGTATTGGAGCCGTATTAGAACCGTATTAGAACCTTAGTAGATCAAAATAGGAACCGTATTATTGGGTTGTCCAGTTATGAATGCGCGTTTTTTACTATTTTGCAAATTTCTCAAGATATCGAACAGATGTATATGAGTGTTATATATCATTCGAAAGCTGAAGATCTCCTCTACATTTTGGAATCAAAAAGTTTTTGAATTCATTCAACTTTTTGGGAAATTGACTGCACAAAGGGAGAGGTCGTTTTCGAGAAAACCCATTCCAGCTTAGCTATTCCTCAAGTTTTATGGTGTAAAATAACCGCCCAGAAAAGAAAAGATGCTCTGAAATTGTTATACTTAAAAAAAGTTGTATTGATGTATCTATTGGCCAAACATCAAACGGTTAACTCAATTTGAGTGGAGCCAAAACTTGATCCAAAGGCACTCTTCCATTTTTTGGCCACCTCTTCTTCTGTGCAGTCAATTTGCCCAAAAGCTCGACAAATTCAAAAGCTTTTTATATCAAAATGTAGAGGAGATCTTCAGCTTTCGAATAATACTCATATATATCGTTTTCATGATTTCGGTATTTTGAGAAATTTACAAAATAGTAAAAAACGATAACTGGACAACCCAATAGATCAAAATAGGAACCGTATTGGAGCCGTATTAGAACCGTATTAGATCAAAAAAAGAACGGTATTGGAACCGTATTAGAACCGTATTAGATCAAAATAGGAACCGTATTGGAACCGTATTGGAACCGTATTGGAACCGTATTGGAACCGTATTGAAACCGTATTGGAACCGCATTAGATCATTGCAATGCTTAGTGAAGTTAATGCATTTACAGCTTGGCAGTTTTCAAAACATGGACCACTTTGCATCCAAAGCAACGATACAGAATTAAAAATCGAAATTGCAATTTTGTGTTCAAATGATTCGGTAAGATCAAATGATTGCTATTTTAAAGATTTTTAAGGGTATTCGATGTGGATCTTGCCCATTTTACATCGACTTTCAAGAGCCACCACTGGTAAATTGCACATTCAGGTTCAAAGAGAAGAAAAGAAAGAAAAATAATATCGATTTTAGTGGTTATTCAAACGAGGGTCTCAATCTGCTTAGCTGTTTTTATACAAAAAGAAATATTGTCGCTATCAGCATCAATAGCGACAATGATCGGCATGTACTGGGCAGCGCTATTGCCGTTAGAGCGCAAAAATGGATTGATGGTTTGTTTGGAGGCTCACAATGAAATGAGCATTGCGAGTTAATTTCTGACAAATGAAATATTAGGTTGTTCGGATATAAACAAGCGTTGCTAAACTTTTTGTTGTGAGAGAAGCTTTTAAAACATATCTTTCTGTATTTAAAAGTACGTTATCTTGCGCATATTTGGAAACTTTTTAAACGGATAATTTGTTATTTTTAAGATCTTTTTTCTTGCTTTAGATGCCCGACTTCGAACAACAAGTTAGCGTCTGCCTACTTTACCACTTCAAACTGGGCAAAAAAAAAGTCGCGGAATCCCATCGAGATTTGGTCAAAGCATTTGGGAATGATGTATTGTCCGAAAGCCGATGCCGAGCCTGGTTCCGACGCTTTCGGAATGGTTGTGAAAGTCTCGAGGATGATGAACACTCTCGTCGACCTCAAGCGGTAGACAACGTTATTTTGAGGGCTACAATCGAACCGGATCCATGTCAAACGACGCGCGAACTTGCTCAACAGTTTCTATGTCCAAATTCTACCATTGATGAGCATCACCACGCCATTGGAAAGACGATCAGATGCGGGAAATGGCTTCCTCACGAGTTAAGCAGTGCAAAAAAGGCTTCACGGGTCGCTATTCCCGGAATCCTCATCCGCCACGCTAAATATCATGGCTTTTTTTGATTCTCTCGTTACCGGGGATGAGAAGTGGATCCATTTGGATAATACTATTCGAAAAATGAAATGACTAGGACCAGGAGAACGGCCAAATCCGACCGTGAAACCGGACATTCATGGGAAAAAGATCATGCTCTCAGTATGGTGGAATAACAAGGTCCTTGTGTATTTCGAGCTTCTACAAACCGGCCAAACAGTCACATCCGACCTCTACAAACAGCAACTTGATTGGGTCAATGAAGTTCTCATTCGTCAAGGAGTAGACACATCAAAGATAAAGTTCATCCATTACAACGCTAGACCTCACGTTGCAAAGATGACTCAGCAAAAACTGGAGAATCTAGGATGGGAGGTTTTACCACATCCGCCGTATGCTCCCGATTTGGCTCCCTCAGATTACCATTGATTCCGGTCGATTCAAAACTTTTTGGCCAATGAGAAATTCGAAAACCGTGAAGATGTCCAAAATTGGGTCGCCAAGTTTTTCGAGTCACAGCCGGCTGAGTTTTCCAAGAGCGGCATCAATTCTTTGCGCTAAAGATGGCAAGAAGCAATCAATAATAATGGGGCATATATTAGGTTGGCGACATTGAAATTTCGTTTTTGAGCAACAACAAAATTTATTCGTAAAAATCAACTAGAAACAATTAATCAACAATAGATTCCCCACAGCTACCGATAACATTTTTGTTATCTTTGACGCAAATTCCGGATACTCTCTTGAAAGAATTGTGCTGGTTTTGATTAAAAGAAAGCAGAGACCTATTTTTTGATGTCGTCAATGTTCTGGAACTTGTGGCTTTCGAGTGAATGGCGAATACTTCGAAAGAAATGGTAGTCAGACGGGGCAATATCTGGACTATGAGGCGGATGAACTAGAAGTTCCCAGCCCAATTTCTCTTGCGTAATTTTGGCCACGTGAGGACAGGCATTTTCTTGTAACAATCGCGCCGTTGTCGGATCAATTCCTTTTGAGCGAAGAACCGCGTCCGCGTTGTTCTAGTTGTTGAACGTAAAGATTTGCATTAACAGTCGGATCAGAAATTAACACTTCGAAATGAGCCAGGCCTCGGGTATTCCACCAAACCGACAGCATAACTTCCTTTCCGTGAAAATCGGGTTTAAGTATTGGCTTTGGAATTTCACCCGGGTCGACCCATTGTCTTATCCTTGTAATATTGTCATAATGAATCCATTTCTTATCAGAAGTTAAAATTGCATCCCAAAGCCCACTATTCTTGGAAATTCTAAGCAAATTTCTTGAACAAAGAACTCTGATGATTTTGCTTGCATCGCTTAGTGAATGTGGGATCCATTTTCCAGCTTTATTGAGCTTGCCCAATTCGTGCAAATGGTTTTCGGTTGCTTTATGATCACAATTAAAATATTCCGCAAGTTCACATGTAGTTTTTTTCGGATCACTTTCGATTATCTGCTTCAAATCGTTGTTTGTCTTCGTCCCAGGTCTTCCAGACTTCCGTCACCCTTTCGAAATCTTTTGAACCAGTTTTGACATTGATGAACAGTGTTAACATCTTTCTCAAATACGTTACAAAGTGATTCATGCGATTCAGTTGCTGTTTTTTCATGTTTGAAATCGTACAGCAACAAATGCGAAGTCGATATTTTGAGGTCGTCTAGCATCTATAAGATTTTTTATTAAAATTCTTCAACTGGAAATCAAGAAAAAACGCGTAATAAAACACAATAATTATATCTTTAAAACAGAAGAGATTGCGATGGTAATAGTATCTCCAGTGTTAAAATCCATAAAGAGAAACGCAAACGAAATTTCAATGTCGCCAACCTAATACTTTGGATTAAACTGTGTTGTTTCTGTTTTTAAGGTAAATTTTGTCGACTACTAAAGCACTCGTTTAGATCCGAACAACCTAATAGATATATAGATATAACTTTTGAAAGCTTTTGGTTTTTAAACAAGATGAAACCGACACACGTTTGAAATGACAAAGAGAATTATGAAAGAGAATTATGAGAGAGAATTATGAAAGAGAATTATGAAAGACAATTATGAAAGACAATTTGACAAAGACAAGTCGTTTATGCTAGAATAAAGCTATTTTAATGATGAGTCTTTGCTCAAAATAGTTTGATTTGAAGTTTTCATCTATTTTGGGTGATTGGAATGAAGCCAGAGCTCATAAACCATCGCTGCGCTTTACAATCAACGAAACCAGCGCTTTACAAAAATACCGTATTTACTCTATTAGTGGGGTCCTCTCTAATAGTGGGGTCGTCTGGAGGGGGGTTGAAAAAATAGTGGGGTCCTCTCGAATTGGAAGAAGATATTGGTAACGAAAGTGATACATCAATTGTTGATCTCTTGGATTAGTTCTTTTACTGTTTGTTAATGTTTTGTTACGGTTAAAGCTAAATAAAATATGAAGCCAAACTTGTTTTGTCAAGAATTTCGGAGAAAAATTGATATCTTTTCAATTTAAAACTTTGGTTTTATGTTCTTTTAAATTTCTTTAATAGTGGGGTCGTCTGGAAGGGGATTGAAAAAATAGTGGGGGACCCCACTAATAGAGTAAATACGGTAATAAGATTGCAAGCTTTAGCCAATAAATGTTGTATACTACTAGAAAGCCGTGAATCTTCTCTACAAAATAGTGCAAAAAGATTTTGAATTGGATTGATTATTGAAGATTTGGGTGGATTTTAAGTTGAAAGGTCAAAAATGAGCATTCTGGAAAAATGTGTTTCTGGCAATAGCCATCCCCGGGTTTTCCGCTAGAATACCGCTAAATACCACCAATTAAAGTTATTTCAAAATAATATTGGGTTGATGCATAATTATCCGGACTTCTTTTATAAATGATTTTATTTAACAAAAAATAACATAAATAGTTAGAAAAATATGTTTAATTGATTATTCTGGAGCATATTCACCGCCTACATCAATAACTGATTGCCATTTGCTTGGAAGACGATCGATTCCACGAGCGAAGAATAAACGATCTTTGGAGGCAATCCACGCTTTAACATCGTCTATCAAGTCATCCAAATCGTTGTAGATCTTATTTGTTTGCCAATTTTTGAGCGATCGATTGACGTGGTAGTCCGTTGGGGCTTCTCCAGTTCTTTGAGATCGCGAAACGACTCTGCGGCAGACCATCCCTTTTCGAAGTGGTAGAGCATGATATGGCGAAGATGGATATGATTGTCGACACGCATTTTGTTCACTAAAGAAACGAATATTAAAAAAAGAAGACAAAAAGCTTTCAAAACAAAAGAAAAGGAGCAAAAAGAGTCGGATAATTATGCATCAACCCAATATAAAAGAAAAGAACTCCTTTTGTTTGTTCGTCTTCTAGAGCCAAATCTTTGTTTTTTGAAAAAGCCCCATTTTAAGCCAAAAACGGCTACTTTCAATTTTGGATTCATATCTAGACATTCATCGTTGACAAGGAGAAAAACTATAACTATAACTATTTAAACTATAAAGCCAAGTAAGTACTGTGCTTTAGCTTAGCGGATAGCTAGTATATAGCTAGTATATGAAAGTCCAGTTAGATCATCGTTGAATACCGCCAATCAAGGTTATTTCAAAATAACATAAAAGAAAAGAACTTCTTTTGTTAGTTCGTCTTCTAGAGATAAATCTTTGTTTTTCGGCTAATCTAAATCTAAAAGCTCCATTTTAGACCAAAAAACGAGTACTTTCGACTTTGGATTCTTATATCTCGATAGAATCTAAGCTGATCGTTTGAGTTTTCGCATATATATTGAGTAATGTATATCCTTAATATACTGGAAAAATTTCAAGTGAAATGATCCGTGGAAGCGTTAGTTGCTAGCAGGCGCCGGGTACCCAGATTGAGACTCAACTTGCGGTTACTTTTTAGCACCCAAGTCTCCAATAATCAATTCAATTCAAAATCTTTTTGCACTATTTTGTAGAGGAGATTCAGGAGATTTCGAACAGTATGCAACGCTTATTGGCTGAGGCTTTAAATCCTTTTATTTTTGAAAAGATATTTGAGCGCTGGTTTCATGCGAATCATTCTAAGAGAAGCTTCGTCAACATATATTGAAAGTTTGGCTCAAAGGTAGTTGGGAAGCTTTCTCACAAGGCTTTCTCACAAAGCTTTCTCACAAAGCTTTCAGCTTGTCAGTTTAGACTAATTCCCAGCTCTTTTTTCACCAAATTATCAAGTTTAAAAGTTACCAAAGTCCTCAATAATCAATCCAATTCAAAATCTTTTTGT